AATTCAAGTCAGTATCTGATTTGTGGAGGGGAATGAGCTTGATGCTTTTCTGAGAGCAATTCAGTAATGTGGGTTGAGAGATTCCCACTTCCTGGAATGACCCTCTTTGTTCTGTGTGAGGAATTCTATTCCAGGTTCTCATCACCTCTCCATCACACTGTTGATGGCAGTGTACATTAGTAAATTAGAGGGTATTTGGCAATATTTATCACTTTTGCATGGGAGCTACAAAATCTCACTGAAGGCTTACCACAATCCTATATTATCAATTTGTTTATTAGATATGTAAGAAAATAAAACATAAAGGAGGTGAAGAATTTAATTAACTTTAAATAAGCAAAGAGAGTAGCTGCTGAACTCTCCAGTAGGAGGCACAGAATTCCATCATCTCAAATCCAGCAGGGAAAAATTGGAAGCAGTTACCATAAAAATTAGGGAAAGATAAATATTGCAGTTTCCTAAGGGACAGGCAATGCCCTAGGTTGCGAGCATAAATCCTAGCTGAATTGTCTGGGTTTTGAGTTCCCACTAAATGATTCCAGGCTGTTAGGACTCAGTTTGTTAAAGAGTAGCCCAGGTGGAATTCCCAGGCGGTACATCCCCTCCCTTTTCCCTTCTCACCCCAAACAGCAATCTTTGAACATAACCATATATCAGTCAAATCCTTGACTGATAACCCTGAACATATACCATCAAATTAACAGCCCCAAAATAAATCCATTCCCCTCCACTGGGAAATGGCTGCATCCCCAAATAACCATGGTGAAGAGGTTGATACAATTTTAATGATATTCTATATTTGTTGTATTTACAAGACGTAATAACAAAATTTTTACTTTACTGTGCTGGTTGTGTGGATACATTCTTTATGTTTAAGATATTTTCAATATTTTAAAGACTCTCAGAGTTTGGAAAAAGTATATGACATTTTAACTGACTTTTAACTGAGATACTTAGGACACAGGCTCCAGCCAGACTGCTGAGGGTTACAGAGCCTGGCAGCACTAAGTTAAGGAAGGTCACAATAACCAAGTGTGTACTACCACTATCTCCATTTTCAAATGATAAAACGGGTACAATGCATCACATGACTTGCCCAAAGCCACACAGCCAGTATATTACAAAGCAAGAATTTAAACCTCAGCAGTCTGGCTGGGAGCCCACTGCCATAGTTTGGGTCTGGAATTTCCCCAACAGCCCATGTGTTAAAGGTTTGGTCCTCAGCTTGGTGCTATTGGGAGATGATGGAATCTTTAGGAAGCAGGACCTAGTGGAAAAAAGGTTACTGGAGCATATTCGTGAAGGTGATGTTGGTATCCTCAGCTTCTTCCTCTCTTTCTCTTTGCATCCTGGCTAGCATCAGGTGAAAATGCTTCCTCCTTCACATGCTCCTGCCATGATGTACTGTGCCGCCACAGGCCCAAAGCAACACAGCCAAGCAACCATGGACTGAAACCTCTAAAAGCACAAGTCAAAATAAGCCTTTCCTCCTTTTAAGTTGATTATGTTTTTCTCAGTGATGGGAAGCTAACTAATATACCCACACTCCAAAACCATTTTTAGTTTTCTGGAAAAGTCCTACAAGGAAGTGCTAAGTGCTCAGGACTGGGATGGGAGTGGGACAAGGTGATTTACAGAGTATAAATCTGCCTTGTTAGGGGTGTGAAATAATGGAGATAATCAGATACAGCAATGTGAGAATTTCACAGTCAAGGAATTTAATAAATAAAGCTTATCAACAGTTTTAAATATGAAGGGAATTTGATTTGCTCAATCTACTGCTTTTGTGATTTCAATATGCAATGCTTAAGAAACTTCTATTACATTTATAAAGTGTTTAAATGTGAAACTTAATATATCAACTTAATAAGCTCACTGAACATTAATCAGAGGACACATGAAAGTGTTTTAACATAAAATTGATAGATTTATAAATAAATTTGAGAAATGTGATTAAAGCTTAGTAAGCTGGTGGAGTGGCTCAAGCGGTAAGAGTGCCTGCCCTGAGTTCAAATTGTGGAGCTGCCAAAAGAAAAAAAAAATCATTGCCAGGTGCTGGTGGCTCTCGCCTATAATCTCCTGTCAGGAGACAGAGATCAGGAGGATCACAGTTAAAAGCCAGCCTGGGAAAACAGTTAATGAGACCCTATCAAAATAACCCATCCCAAAAAAGTGTTGGTGGAATGGCTCAAGGTGTAGGCCCTGAATTCAAGCCCCAGTACAGAAAAAAAAAAAAAAAAAAAAAGCTTAGTAACAACTAGGCTTAAAATTTACAGTCATAATAAATTACAACACAAGCAGTTTTATGAATTCCTCCCCATGCACAAAAAGCCCTGTCATATTTAAAATCTCAACTGCCAATTGGTACAGGTATAACCCTATTTGGCAAAGGCAGAAAGTGAGATAAAGAAAAATAACTCCCCAAAGTGACAGAACTAAGCAATGGTGCCTACATTCCAGCCCAGGTGATACCAGATGGCCAAAGCCAACACAGAACCACTTTGCTATACCACTTCCAAGATATGGAGACTCCATTTCTACGGAAAATTATCAGCCACTAGAGGTGGGCATTTAGTATGCCCAAGACCCTGGGCTCAATCTTCGGTACCAAAAAAGAAAAACACAATCGCTCCTCGGCCTTTTGACTAAGATCAAGTGTAGTATCTGTTCTTATCAGTTTATTATCTGATACGTCCTCTATCCGCGGACAATATATTATATGGATTTTTGGAACAGGGAGATGGAATAGGAGCTTGCTCCATCTCCTCCACGCATCAACCTGGTATTGCAGTACCGCCAGGAACAGTGCACCAGAAAAAAACAACAACATTATCCATGCATAACCTGCAAAAATATGATATTGTTATCACATTGGTCCTTCACAGAATGCTTCCACCATGATGTACTGTGCCACACAGGTCCAGAGCAAAAAAGCAAGCATGGACTGAAACCTGTAAGACCGTGAGTTTTGGGGGAGAAGGGATAAATTTTACAAAAATAAATAAAACCATGAGTTTTCTTAGAGTAGGAATTATGGAGGACCATTTTTTTTTCTATAACTTGATAGAAGTATGATTTGAGTAAAAGAAATTCTTTATCTTTTCACCCCATCTTTCAATACAGTTTGCTGACAATTTAAGGTAATTCTGCACCTTTTTATATTTTACTTTCTTTTCTGTGTTGTCAGTCAGCATTCTGTACTAATTTAATAATATCTACACCATGGACTGTCTTTCTTTTTTCCTTATATTCCTGTTTGTGACTTAAATACTCTCTTGGATGGGTATCATCCCTGGGTGAAGTTTTTTTGTAGCTTCCCATTCTCCACATCCCATAAAATTTGTCACTCCTTCACTTATGCTACCATTGTGTCTAGCACATGCTTTTATTATTAAACTTATAATACTGAATAGTAGTTGCTTTTCTATTCATCCATCTTCCCTATAGAGTGTCTTGAGTCTTTGTTTTCCCACAGTCTAGCACAGAAGTTGGTTGATCAAACTGAACATGTTTTGCAGTTACGAAATCTGAACTCCACTTTGCATAGGCAACTGTATAGTTTTTGTTGCTGTTTCTTTTTTTTTTTTTTTGAATGGTTTATCCCTTTTTGTTTTAATTCTGTCTAACATTGGAGCAAATAATACATAATTAAGACAGATGAGGACTGGGAACATAACCCAAGTGTAGAACACCTGCCGTACCAGAATGAGGCCCGAGTCAACTTCCAGTACCACCAAAAAAAATTAAAAATAACTAAAAAAAAAACAACTTGAACTAAAGTGGGTGAATTCAGTTAAGATGATGCTTATAAAACTGAGAAAAACTGTATAATCTCTCACAAAAAAACAAATATTTAAGGAGGAGCTGAGCATGGAGCCATGTCACGCAACTTGGGAGGAGGCAGATGCTTTATTTCCCAAAGACTGCATGCCCTGCTGCTCCCAGACTGTTTTGCAGTTACGAAATCTGAACTCCACTTTGCATAGGCAACTGTATAGTTTTTGTTGCTGTTTCTTTTTTTTTTTTTTTTGAATGGTTTATTCCTTTTTTGTTTAATTCTGGTCTAACATTGGAGCAAATAATACATAATTAAGACAAGATGAGGACTGGGGACATAACTCAAGTGGTAGAACACCTGCCTACCAAGAATGAGGCCCTGAGTTCAACTCCAGTACCACCAAAAAAATTAAAAATAACTAAAATAAAAAGACAACTTGAACTAAAGTGGGTGAATTCAGTTAAGATGATGTTATAAAACTAGAAAAACTGTATGATCTCTCTCAAAAAAACAAATATTTGTAAGGAGGAGCTGAGCATGGAGCCATGTCACGCAACTGGGAGGGAGGCAGATGCTTATTTCCCAAAGTACTGCATGCCCTGCTGCTCCCAGACTAGTCTACCTGCCACATCCAGTATGTATTTCCCAGATTTTCTACTCAAAGAAAAATATAAAAAAACTAAAAAGGCAGTTAATTTCTTAACCAGAAGATTATGTTTAGACAGTAGACAGTCGGGATCTGGGAATACTTGTTGCTCATCGTGACTCCAGTGCGTTTGCATTTTACCCTGGACTTCAATGCTAGAAATTTCGCAAGAGTAAGATTGTGGAGGGTGAAGCTCTGCAGACCCGACGCCTACACCTCACTGCCCCTGTGCGCGCTGCAGCCTGGGGACAGGGGTGGTGACACAGAGTCTGGCCAGGCCATTCCCTCTAAGTCACAGGTCAGAATGGGACAGAATGGGAAAGTGAATTGAAATCTCTCTTCTTCTTCCTCCTCCCTCTCTCCCTCCTTCTTCCCCTAACCCCCACGCCCCGGTCTCTTTTTCTTCTTTCTGCAGGCTCTCTTAAAGGCTTGCCCCCACGTTTTGGAAAGGGAGTTTCTGGTCGCCACCGCCCCGCCCACAGAGTCACCTCCCCCCGAGGCCCCGCCCCGCACTTCCGCCCCTGAGAGCACGTTGTGAGCCCCGTCCTGCGTGGGGCGGGGCCTCCGCGAACTCACTTCCTGTCCATCCCCGCCGTGCTCCTCTGGCGGGGCGGGGCGCCCTGCGTCCCTGCAGCTTCGGGCCGGCGTTGACCTCCGTTCCTCCCGGGAGGATCGGGCCTAGGCGGCGGACGGCCTGGGGATCGAGTCGTCTTCTCGCCGCGCATCTCCGCGGTGGACGTGTCCGGGTGGGTGGGCCCCGGAGATCCGTTGGCCGTTTCTCCTGGCTCCCTCGCCGACCCAGCGCAAGTGAGAAGGGGATTGGTGAAGGAAGACGCGGCGTGCCTGGGCGAAAACTGGAATCAGGGAGCAGGAACGGAGTACTAAGCATTTCTGAGGCGACTTTCTTGTCAGAAAATAGAAGTGTCTAGAATCACCATCTGGGTGCCACTAATTTCACACTCTCTACAGGGTGCCCGTTAATTACTCTAGACACCTGCAGTCTACCGAGTTCAGCCGTAGTACTCAGAGAATGCAGGCATGAAGCAGGAAAATGGGGTGTTGGTGTTTCAGAGTTCTCTTCAGGCATCTGAAAGATACCGAGGGGAAAAATTTTACATGTGTATATATGTATGTGTGTATATATGTATATACATATATTTATCAGACATAAAAATGATATGAAGCTATTGCCATCTGGGCTTCTTCGCGTCTAAGTGATCGAATTCACAGCAAGTGTTCATCGGCTGGTGTAAGATCTTGTGACCAAAATGAAGCCACGCACAGTTTGCCTGTGTCCTCCAAGGCGATTGCCTTGGAAGGAGTTTAATGAAAGGGCGGGGGAAAAAACAAACAAAAAACTTCACCTGCCTTAAGGGCTTAGCATTTTATATAACAATCGTAGAAGCTATCCTTCAGCTTCTGTGAAATTTTGCTAAGGAAATGTGTAGTTCTGAGACTTACTTCATCCCTGGTGAAACTTTGTCCTAGAGAAGTAATTCTGCAGTAGTTTGTTAGACTGAAAACTGTGCATAGTTGTATATGCTTGTCATGCTGACACAGATGTAGTGAAAGTTCTAAGAACTGGGGGTGGACAGGGTATGTGATCATGCTGTCTCACCAGCGTTCCTTCTGCTCTTACACAATAGAGGAAAAATGACTAACGGATGAGGCTCACAGATTTCTATTTAATAGAAATTTAGAGTTAGGAAGTTTTTTGGTTTTTTTTTTTAATCCTACCTACCAATAAAAGGTGAATTGAAAACACTGTGCTGGACACATACCGTCCATCATTTGAACTATCACAGTTCCATGAGATTCTCTTTATCCTCATTATACAGAGAAAAACTAGGACTTTGAGGACTTAAGGTAACTTGGCCAATGTCACATCGCTATTAAATTACCAGTTTAGGATGAAACTCGGGCTACTCATCTCTCCAAATTAAAAATCATGTGGAATGCAGGTGTATACGTCTAAGTACATTAGGCTGTACAATAAAAACGGGTGTGTTTTATGTAAATTATAGCTCAGCAGAGTTGATTTTTTTTTAATCACGCAATGTATTTGATTGCTTTTAATGATAGAATTTGTGAAAGAGCCAAACTGTGAGTCAAGCTAAACCTTTTGCCAGGTGAAGTGGCGCTCACCTGTAATCCTGGTACTTGAGAGGCTGAGATTGGGAGAATTATGGTTTGAGGCCAGCCTGGGCAAATAGTTCAAGAAACCCCCATCTCCAAAATAAACAGCAAAATGGACTGGAGGTGTGGCTCAAGTAGTATAGCACCTCTTTGCAAGTGTGAAGCCCTAAGTTCGAACCCGACCCACCAATAATCATTTTTTGAGATGAATATTTCAGATAGTTTGTTATAGTAATGGACAGCTGACTGACACAATTAGTGACACTACTGTCAAGGATTATTCATTCAGGTAACCTTCCCAAACTTCAGGTACAGATACAGAAAAATATCAACCAGGATGTTGTCATGAGCGAGGAGCCTGCAAGTCTGCAGTGGAAATTAGAACACAGAATTGAAAAAGATACCTTTGTATGTGTGTGATGCCTACCTAACAAAAAAGAATCTGAAAGCATTAGATACTTCTGTTATGGGGTACACATTAAAGTCACATTTTCTATGTGTAATGTCCTGTGTATTACACTAAGCATTATGGTTATAATCTGTGCAGAACTTTTAAATTTCAATTAAATTTACTTGAATCGTTTGTCAAAAGAAGCAAGGCATCAGTTGTGAATACTTTTTTATTTGAAAGTGTGTTTGATTATTTAAAGACAATATGTTGACTAGTTTCTCATTTCATGATGTTTTATTTTGAAGTTTCACAAACTTGTTTTTGACAGTACTGGGATTTGAACTCAGAGCCTTGCACTTGCTGCCACTTGAGCCACTCTGCCTTCTCTCTTTGCTTCGTTTATTTTTGAGATAGGGTATGGCTTTTTGCCTGGGCTGGTCTGGACCATGGTCCTCGTAGTTGTGCTTCTCCACCTAGCTAGAATGATAGGTGTGTGCCATCACATCTCGCCATTGGTGGAGATGGGGTCTTGCAAACGTTTTGCTAGGTCTGGCCTCGAACTGCAATCCTTCCAGTCTCCTCTGTAGCTAGGATCACAGGTGTGAGCCACCCAGCTTCAAAAACATTTTGAATTTAAGACTTTGATGAAAATTTCTGAATCAAATGTTTTGTGAGTATGTATTCTGTTGTTTTTTATTTATTTCTTGTTTTTGATGTTTTCTTTCTCTTTTTTTTTTTTTTTTTTTAGTAGTACTGGGGTTTGAACTCAGTGTCTTGTGCTTGCTAGGCAAGTGTGCTACAACTTGAACCTGTACCTTCAGCCATGATGTTTGTATCTTTGTTTGTTTGCTTGTTTATTTGTTTCTTTTTAAGAGACAAGGTCCTACTATCTTGCTCAGGCTGGTCCCAGACTACTGGGCTCAAGGAATCTTCCAGCCTAGCTTCCTGAGTGCTAGGACTACAGATAGCACACCAATATACCCAGGTGAATTGGGCATTCTGTTTTGTTTTGTTTGTTTTGTTTTTTAAGATCACTATGTAGCTCAAGGTAGCCTTGAACTCCCTATATAGCCCAGGCCAGTCTCAAACTCTTAATCCTCCTGCCTTAACCTCCCAAGTGCTAGGACTACAAGTGCGTGCAACCACTCCTGGCTGGAATTTGCCATTCTTAATAATCATGGTTACTCATACATTCAAGGTGACACAGAATAGCTCAGTTTTTCTCACTAGTGGCAAAACTGGCTTTCTTGGGATGCTTAAATCCTGGTTGCTACCTCCACACAATATAGACACGTCCATATTGGTCAATTTAACAGCCCTCCAATAATGACAAAGGCCTTAGAACGAGATATGATAGATTGGATTCTACTGTTTGAAATTCTGCCAACCTTATGTTTTCCAACAGAACATTTTCTCCAGAAGCAATAATGAAGATAGTAACATATCTTGAATAAAAAAGAAAATAATTGTGACAAAAGCATGTCTTGGGAGAAGGGATGCAGTTCATCAAAGTACATTATATGCACGTGTGGAAATATCACAATGAAACTCCTCTGTGTAATTAATATACACTAAGAAAAAAAGAGGAAACAAAAATAAGCATGTGTCTTAGGTCAGTTTGCTGAGGACCCTTCATGAAGAACAAGGGAAGACTGACCAGCACTTTGAACAGGAGTTGTCTGTAAGATTTTGAACATAATGAGAAAAAAACTACTTTTAGTAATTAGATACGAGCAGGACACCAGAGAACACAGAGCCCGAAATGAGGCCTCTGTGTGAACATGCCTAAGCTTCCTGCTGGGGGATGTCACCTTCACCATTTGCTTCTTTAATCCTTCTTAAATATTAGTGCAGCTTGCTTGGCACTAAAGCAACTGCGTTTTCTCAGGAATGCATAAGCCTACAACCAAGGGACAAATAAAAATGATTCCACTCCAAGTAATTTCTAGTACAGTTTTTTTCTTAATTTACTAACAAAATTTATTTATTTATTTACTGGAACAGGGTCTTGCTATCTAGCCTAGGCGGATTTTGAACTCATGATACTCCTACCATGGCCCCCCAAGTGTTGGGATTATAAGTGTGTACCAACCCACTCAGCTATCAATAGAATTTATAATAATTCATTCCAGAAATATACTCATTTACTCAAAACAATTCTGGACAGGTAAAAGCAACTTTAATACATAAATCATTAGTATTGTGCATGTTCTTTTCCTGATCAGTTCTATCTGCAAGATCAAAATTGAGATACAATTTCAAAACTATACTTCATATTCTTAAGACACTTTTTGGCAAGATACATTAATTAAAAAAAAAAAAACTTGTGTGCTTCTAGTATGCTCCAAAGGAAATAGAGCTTTAAACAAATTTGTATATAAATGATGTTAATCATAGTAGCATATACAGTGACAAACATTAGAAGTTTTAACCTAATTAACCAGTAGGAAAATTTTAAAACAAATAGATATATCAATTTGTGATTGTTTAGAAATATGGCCATTTAAAATTTATAGTCAAAAATGTACACCAAGTTTATTTGACTATATGTAGTATCATGGTAAAATTATTAGAAGAAGCTACATCAAAATTTTAACTGATTATTGCAGAAAAGCAGAATTATGGGCCATTTGAACTTTACATCTTTTAAATTTTTTCACATTCTCAAAAATGAACACATCTTTATTTTAGAAGTGTATCTTTTTATTTTTCCTTAGTTTTGTTTGATTGTTGCAGTGCTAAGGATTGAACCTAGGGCTCCATGCATGCTAAGCAAGTGCTGTACCACTGAGCTACAACCCACTCTACCCTTTTTTTTTTTATAATCAGGAAAATTATAAATGCTACTAAAAAAAGAAGAGCCAGGCACCAGTAGCTCACGCCTATAATCCTAGCTACTCAGGAGGCAGAGATCAGGAGGATCATGGTTTGAGGCCAACACCAGGAAAACAGTTCACAAGACCATATCTCAAAAATACCCAACACAAAAATGACTGGTGGAGTGGTCCAAGTGGTTGAGCACCTGCCTAGCAAATGTGAGGCCCTGAGTTCAAACCAGAAGAAAACAGCCAAACAGAAAGAAAACAAAATTCCCAGAAGGCTAAATAAACACATGCTCTCTTCATTTTAGCTAATCGAATAAAACCTTACTGCTTACACGTGGTAAATAACCCAGAAATGACCCAAATGGCTACTTTAGAAATCAACCAGTATTACTCTGCTTCCTTCTTTCTCTCACTCTTCCTCAGCTACATGTTAGAAATGTTTTCTGTGAATAGAAATAATCCCATGCATTCTATCTGATCACAGTGTGTTAAAACTGGAACT